ACCTCCCTGATAATCTGACACATTTATCATGAAATATTCTTCTAAACCTTGGCTTAATATTCTTCTCCACTGTTTTTTTGCTTTGTTTTGTTTTTTATATACTAAAGCATACTGATATCAATATACTTCAACTTTGACAGGTATTAACATGGTACCTTTCTGTCCATCCTTTAAATATTAACCTCTCTTTGTCTTCAACACAATCTTGGGCCTTTATTTGCCAATATTAAAATTCCTTTGAGTTGGTCTGTATAGTTTTACTTCATATGATCCATTATACAGCTGGTCTAAAGCATAAAATTCTTTTATTTGCTGCCATCTGTCCCGCCATTTCTTTTTCCTATTTTTCTGCTGTCACATTTTTTTTTTGTGTAATTTCATCATATCATTATTGTCTTGTAGCTATCTTTTTAAGTGACTGCTCCAGGTTTTATAACATAAATCTCAAACATCACCATCACCAAGTAATGCCACTTCACATATTATTTTTAATGTATATGATTTTATGTGTGTGTGTGTATTGGGAATAGATTTAAAAATCAGACATGCACATTTAGTTAAGAACTGTTATGGCTACTTTTATGCTTTAATGATAGCATTAAATAGCTGCAGCAGAGAGACTATGCCTAAAATATTTACTATTATCTCTAAATGTATTATTTGGTTAATTGCATTTACTTAATTGATTAATTGGTTAGAGAACCTCTTAAACCAAATTTAAACATATAAAATATGAATTCTGTACATAAATTTCATTAATTACCGTAGGCACATCTGGGCTTTAAGATAAGCAATGATAAATAGGGTTAACTGTTGACTTAATCAGAATCCTATTAAAACAAAGATGATTTATTTGTACTATGGGATCTTCCAAATAAAAACTATAGAATATTTTTCAATTGAAATTTGTGCCATAGTATCTTCACTACGTCATGAGGCTTATATCCAAGGCTTTATCTCTTATCCCAATCGTATAAAACTGGCTTTAATACATTTTAATCAGTTTAGAATGCTGAAATCAGGTTAAACAAGCTGGATTATGTTTGAGTAAGATGTGTTTGTGTGTGTATGTGCATATATACATATGTGTGTGCGTGCGTGTGTGTGTGTGTGTCTGTGTGTGTGTAAAAACAAAAAGTTGAGAAAGGCAGTTAGGAATCTATCTTGGCATATTAATAAACTTTTTAAACTCTTTAAGTAAGTAACGTTTTAATGTGTTTTTAAGAAAATAATCTCTTGAGGGCTGTGGTGGCACACGCCTTTAATCCCAGCACTCAGAAGGCAGAGGCAGACGGATCTCTCTGAGACTGAGGCCAGCCTGGTCTATGTGAGTTCCAGGTCAGCTGTGCTTACAAGGAGACTGTCTCAAAAAGACCAAAAAAGAAAAGAGAAAGAAAATCTCTGTCAAGAGAACATATATTATTAAACATTAGTAAAATATGCTTGTGGGTAGTATATTTGTGGATAATGAATTTAAATATCTCTTCATCTGCCACTGAACATTTTGCTACAACAGAAAAGGTTTTAGCACAGTATTTATACCATCTTCTCTAATGAATACCATGTGTTTTGTGTCAAAGCTATCTGAAATCATGGATAAACTCATATCTATTCTTAAACTTCCAATTTTATTTAAAGATGGGAATATGTCACTACAATGAAGATATTAATTCCTAAATCAGAATATAATATTCCCATGTTTTGAAAGAAATGGAGGAAGAGAGGGTAGGAGGGAGGGAGGGAGGCAGGGAAGAAGGGAAAAGAAAATGAAAACCAGGAAGCATTATGTCCAGCTGGCTCATGCACTGAGTCAAAGCTCCAGTTTTCCCAGGCATCCTCATTCAGGCTCCTCTAGAAAAATCTGAGAATACTAAAAAGAAAAGAATGATTATACAAAGAAATCTACTTATGCAGCTAGTTTATATAATGAGTATCTAGTATACAAAACAAACATTGCTAAATGCATTCAATAAAAACTCTTACATGCTTACAAAATAACTAATAAAAGGTTGTGTTTATTCTTTCAAGTAGATATAACCTGGTCACCTACTTTAGAAAAAAACTTTTATTGACAGCTTCATAATGTATTTAATGAATTTCAGTTATTTTCACCCCTATTGCCCTCTCTCATTCCCCTCCCTCCTCCACTGAAACCCTTCTTCCCCCTCAACTTGTGTGTGACCCACTGAGTTTGAATTAGGGTTACTTGTCTGAGCATAGGTGGAGGGTATTTACTGGAGCATGGGCAACACAACTAGAGAAAATGACAGCCTTCCCCTAGCAACCATTAACTGCCAATAGGCAGGGATGGACCACATGAGCCCTTCCCCTGTCCATGATGAAATGCTGAAGAATGTAATATGGGGAAGGTTAATCCTAACAGTGAGTTCACAAATATAATGACTGCCATGTCCTGAAAAATCTTTTCGCAGCACACTTTCCTGGAGCCTCCTCTTCTGTGATGTTCCCTGAGCCTTGGAAGAGATGAAACAGAAATCCTGTTTAGGGCTGTGCACACAACAGTCACTTATTCTTGACACTTTGGGGTCATCTACTTTGTGATTCATACCAAATTACAAAAGCGAGAGAGGCTGCAAAGGTGAGTGCAAAGCATCAGTAATTGAAACTTGATACAACATTAGTAAAAAAAAATATAAAGCAAAAAATGTAAGATTTACACTAGTTTATGTTTATTCAATATACAAGAAAACAGGTAACCTATATTATGACTTTACTATAAAGCCTTGCTTATATTGTTCAATTATTGTACAATTATAATGGATACTTCTTATGGGGACTCGAGTTTTGTGTGAGACATGTTTAGTTGAGCATCCGAATGGCACTATGCAACTACAAGCATCAGCTTCATTTCTAGATTCAAATCCTAATTCCACCTGCCAGAAGATTAATCTCTATGGACCTCAATTTCCTAATTTTTCAAGAGAATAACAATATTCACAAGGTTTTACAAAGATTAAATGGTAATATACAAGCAAAACACCTGGTGTAATACCTGGCACATGGCAAGCTTCAAATGTACACATAGATAGCAGTGATAACAGCCATAATAACACTGTTTTATAGCAATAATAACAGCATGTCATGTTTAGTACGCAGCAAAATACATCGATCCAGCAGGTACAGGCTGCAGATCTAGAAAATCATCTACGTAAGGGATTGTTTTGGTAAAATAAAATGACAAAATGTGTAACTCTGGGACCTCTCAAAATGAGGAGACTGCTGTAAAAGAGAAGCAGGCAGAGGGAGGCATAGGCAGTGTGCAGCGGCAGAAGATGCTGTAAATTCTCAAGACTGCCTTCTAGACGTACAATCCAGAAGTCACGTGTGCCAAAGCTGTTTATGGAGGAGCAGAATGCTGACAGCCACAGGTTTAAAGAATGTGTGGAAGATCAGATATGTAGGAGAGGCATGTGATAATTCTAGGATTTTGCTGCTTACCACTGTGTCGAAGGGGACTGAGGATGTAGCTCAGTGTAGAAACCCTGCTCAGGACACACAAGGTCCTGGATTTTATAACAGCACCTCAGTATGCTCTGATCTTCATTAATCCATTTACCTCAACTGTGAACTAACCTCGTAAAATGCTCTGTAACCCCCAACACACTGCTACCTTTTGAAGGACCACATCTGTGCATCTCAGTTTTCAAAATGGTAGTGACAGGAATTCTAGAATCTTCTCTTACTTATTTGATAAGTGGCTTTGAACAAACTAATTTTACTAGGCCTTGATTTTTTTTTTATTGTCTGAGAAATTAAAATGGCACCCATTTTATTAAAAGGAGAAAAAGAAACATCAAAAAATAAAAGTCACACACTGCAGCTGCTCAGTACAATTACCGTAAATCCTTTGAAAAATAAATGACAAAATACATTATTAAGTAAAATGTTTATATTATCTATTATTTAATAGTTCAACACACAACTGAATAAGCACTAATATCACTTAATAGTAACACAGCAAATACATTACAGAAATAATCATTTTTTAACGTTAATGTATACTACAGCAAACATTTAGAGTAATATTTGATTTACAACATCACCAAAAATTAAGATTAGAATTACTAAAACATCCTTGGATTTTATATATACCATTTAAAAAATTTTAAGTCAAAAAATTAGCATACAAGCTATTAGATATCATTATACTATTATTTTAAAACGTCGTGATCCAGAAGCTTCGAAGAGAGACTACGCAGAAAAATTGATTGGATTACGTGTCATTCCCACCCCCACCCACATCCTCTGATAAACACGCAATATGTGACTACCTATCAGGCAGGGGAAGAAGAAAACAGTGACGCTTAGATGATTCATCCTAACAGAATTCATAACAAAGAAAAAAAAGAAAAATTTTTTTTCATAATTCAATATATCACCAATAGTCTTCATAAATAAGATTCTAAACGTGGTTTTAATTTTGACATTTGAGTATTTCAAATATTCTTTTAAAAAAATTTCCAGGATCTTCATAATAAACAGTCTTCCCAAAAGCCCAAGCAATCGTTTCTGCAACAGGTGAAAAACCTGTTAGCATCCTTTTCTTTAAAAATTAAAAAGCCACGTTTCCACGGATTTTTTTTTTTACAGTAACAATGAAACACAAATCGATCACCTTTTCTCAGCTGTAAGTGCGACAGCATTTCACTGGCCCAAGATTCAGCACCGGGTTGACTCTCTAAAAGGAAATACACTTAGCACTTATCTGCTTGGAAGCTTTTAAGCCCGAATTTAGAAGGAAAGACTGAATTCCCTCGGTTGCAGCACAGCGATGGACAACCAGGACCAGGAGAGCGGGAAAGTGGGCGGGTGCTGGCAGTCCACATCCACTGATGGCACATCCGCGCTCGGACTGCGTGGCACAGCTCATCCCCGCGCCCCACTCCCCAGGCCCCAGCAGCCCTCCCTCCGCCCCGGGGGCCCCGCAGGCCGAGTGCCGGACCCTGGATCTCGCCACACCGCGCCCGCAGGATACTCACGGAGGGCAGCGCGCAACGCGTCCTATCCCGCCCGAGCAGCAACCCCCGCGGAAGGAAGCCAACAGCAGGGCCGGCGGAGGGACGCAGCGATTCGACCACCTCAGCCGCCAGCGACCCGCGCTCTGAAGAGTGCGAGGGTGCCGCAGTGCGGGCCGCGCGCCGCCGCCTGACGTCAAGTCTGCCTCTGCCGCTGTTCCCTTAGCAACTCAAGTCTGCCCTGGCTGCCGGCTGGACCGCGGCCTGGCCACGCCCCCCAAGCCGCAGCTGGCTGGTTTCCGCCGCTGGCGCTTGTGGTCCCTCGGCGTCCAGCGGCCGCGCGCCTCGGCTGCGGGTGCGCGCGCTGGGCGGGGTTTCCGCCTGCCAGATGGAGCCGGAAGCCAGCCGGAAGTGTGCTGTGTCTGCTCAGAATCCATGCCTGTCCTCATCCCGGGGAAAGCCCTGTGCCCGAGAGCTCTGCCTAGCTGGGGGAGAAACAGGTGGTGAGGCAGACGGGGAGGCTGCAGGGAGCCCGCCCCCGACAGAGCCAGGAATGAATGGGGCAGGGAAGCCGAGAAACAGTCACCCCGTACGCAATCGCGCCCACAAAATAAAAGATGCTTTTAAGTGTGAAGAATGAAGTCTATTACTGACAGAATCCTAGGGGAAAGTATTCACGATTCGACTAGCGCTGAGTTGGCTATGTTGAAAATGAAGATAAAAACGTCATGTTTTCTTCTAACGCCCCCTCTCCTTTGTTAATATCTGCTCCAGGCGCCATCTTTAGCTCTGAGTCACCAGGAGTGGAAAAATACTAGATGCGTTGTTGCTTTACTCGAATTAGAGGCCATTTTCTGCGTTTTTACACCCACCCAATAACCTGTTGCGTCATTTATGGTGACAGTACTATCTGTTTCTTTGAAGGCCATCTTTTCCTTTCTTGTTATCACGTCTTATACAAAGCAAATCTCATTTGGTTCTCAAAATCCTATGAGGAGACCATGAGAAATGTTACCAATTCAAACAGCTTTATTTACCAAATAAAGCTGTTCGATTTTCCACTCAAAAATCTCAGTATTCCCCTTCTAGGTTTGTATCTCACTTTAAGCACTAAATAAGAATACTTAAGGTGACACTGAAATAAATATTATTTTTTTAAATGAAGATAAAGAGGACTGGAGAGATGGCTCAGCGGTTAAGGGCACTGGCTGCTCTTGCAGAGGCCGGGATTCAGTTCCTAGCACCCACAAGGGGGCTAACAACCCTCTGTAACTCCAGTTCCAGGGAGGGAGGGCATCGCACATCACGGGTTCACTTACATACATTCATGTAATACACTAATACATATAAAAATAATAAAATATTTTTTAAATGGTGATAAAGGTCCCCCTTAAAATTCTCAATTAATCAATATAGAAGGAATGATGTATGAAGAAATACCACCACTTGGCAATAGAGTAACCATTTAGGAAAAAATTCATCAAGATATGCTAAGGCCAGAGAATAACAGTTTAAGAGACACGTGATTATATATGTATATATAATATGTATACATACACACATCTGATGTAACCCACTAAGTACACAGTTACAAAGGGAAAAGGTACAAATTTTACAATGTAGAAACCTGCCAATGGTGATTGCCGTGGTTTGAATGAAAATGTCCCCCTGGGGGTCCAAGTATTTGGACATTTGGTCCTAAGTCACCAGTGCTATTTGGGGAGGATCATGGAATCTTTAGGAGGTTTGGCCATGCTGGAGGAAGCAGGTCACTGGGGGTGGGCTTTGAGAGTTCTTAAGCCTTGTCAGATCCGGAGTCTCTCTGCTTCCTCTGCCTGCTTGAAGACTTTGAGTGCTTATCTTTCTGCTCCAGCCACCTCTGCCACTATGCCTGGACTCTAATCCCTCTGGAATCCTAAGACAAATAAACTCTTTCTCCTATAAGTTGCCTTGGTCACAGTGTTTTATCACAGCAACAGAAAAGTAAATAATACAGTGATTGAAATCCTATTACCAATCAGGCAAAAAAAAAAAAAAAAAAAATCAGCATCATACTCCACCTGGAAATAGACCCTTAGAACACAATTCTGTGATATTTCTGCCAAAAAATGCACAATCTGAATCATAATATGAGGACTCAGACAACCCCAAACTGGAGGACATTTAATAAAACATGAATTTCCATTCTTCCAATGTTAAAATCATGAAAGACAGCAACTAAACATTTTTGGAGGAGAATGAAGAGACAGGATTACTTAATAAAATACATGATTTAGAATTGAATCCTTTGGCTGTTGGATCCCATTTTCTTTTTAAACCGACAGAAATGAAGTAAGTTTTTTTGTCAGATGAAGGTATTTTAGCAATGTTGACTACCTAAATTGAGTGACTGTACTCTGTTAACATAGGAATTATCTTTGTGGTTTTAGAAAATATGCACTGAAGTATATAAAGATAATGAACCTTTTTTTTTTATTACTTTCTCATTGCTGTGATAAAATACTTGACAAAAGTAACTTAGGGAAGAAAGGGTTAATTGTGGTTCACAGATTGAGGTACAGTTCATTATGGCAGGGGTGACATATGAGCAGGAGCAAGAGGTAGCTGGCAATGGTACATCGGGTCAGGAGGCAGGGAAAGACTTTCTCCTTTTTATTTTGTTAGGACTTTAGGCTATGGATTGGTGCCACCCTTGTTCAGGGTGGGTCTTCTCTCTTTTGTTAAACCTTTCTGGAAATACTCTCCTAGATACACTGAGAAGCAGGTTTCCACAGTGACTTGAAATCGTATCAATGTTAACAAGTTTAACCATCACAACTCCTCTCCTTATTAACTTGATGTCCAAATATTATCAGTGTAAATCATAACATTTCATCCCTGCCCCCTAAAGTCTCATTTTCATCTCATAATGCAAAATGCATTTAGTCCATTTCTAAAGCCCCCATAGTCTTTAACAGTCTCAACAGTGTTTGAAAATCCAAAGTCTCTTCTGAGACTTAAGATATACTCTTAATTGTGAGGTCCTATAAAATAAAAAACAAGTTACATGTTTCCCATATTGAATTGAACAGAGTAGACATTATCATTTAAAAAAGGAGGAATGGGATACAGCAAGCAATGATATGACCAAAGCAAGAAATCTAGCAGGGAAAACATTAAATCCTGCAGCTCTGTGTCCCATACCTGTGACTTCTGATGAACTCATCTGGGCTCCAATACACTACCCTCTAGCTCTGCCAACTACATAGCCTCTCTCTGTCTGGTTCTACTCCATGCCTAAAGTTTTCATCAGCAGATCTCTTATGTCCTGCATCTTTAACATTCTTGGATCTCCACTGTAACTTGTATCTCCACTCACCTTTAGAACTTCAGACATGGTGTTTCAAGGCCTCCTTTCAAGGATGCTGATATCACCACAATGGCCTGGCTTTAGCTGCTGTCCAGAACCTTGGTTCTATGATGCCTTTACTACTGCATCTTTCATGTCTCCAATACTGGTGGCATGTGAATGATGCTGCCAATTTTGTTGCCAGCTTGAGGTATAGCCTGTCCCCATTAGACCACAGCTGTAGTGGCCTTTGTATGCCATGACTGAATCTATGAAAACTGTTTTCGAGGAAGTTTTTTTGTTTGTTTTTTTGTTTGTTTTTTTTTTTTGAGCAGGAAGCCCTTTCTTCGGCATTCTCAATTTAGGCTCTCTTCTTTCAAATGAATTTGCATTTTTACAAATTAGAATCTTCAGTGGGTAAGATCTAGCTCTCAGAACACCTTTCCTGTTGTCCCAATGCAAAGCACTAGATTTCTTTGTGCGTGAGTGTGCATGTGTGTGTGTGTGTGTGTGTGTGTGTGTGTGTATACTGGTGAGAGGTGTGTATGTGTGTGTGTATACATATGTACATTTCCAATTGTGTATGTGTGAGTGCAGGCTTTCATGTGCCATGGTGTGCAGGTAGAGTTCAAAGAACAACCTTGGGTATCTATCCTCATCTTTCACCTTGTTTGGAACACAGTCCTTTTGTTTATCTGCAGCATATGCTAGGATAACTGATGTGCAAATTTCCAAGGGTCCTCCTGTCTATTCCTCTCATCTCCCTCTAATCCTGCACTGGGATTACAGACACTGACACTAAGTGTTCAGTTTTTACATTAATTCTGGTGATTCAAACCCAGGTCCTTATACATGTGAGGATACCCAATAAGCCATCTCCCAGTCCCACATTTCTCTTTAACAGGACCAATCCCTTTAATAATGCCAGCTGCTATGGTAAATGTTTTAACTGTATATTTATTTATTTATTTTTATTTTTTTACTGTC